ATATATTTAAATAATGATTGTATTAACAGATCTTCCTCTATGTGTATAGTTGTTCAATTAGGGAAAAAAAAAATCAAACTGGGTGCTGTCAGGTTGATCCTAACACATAGCAACCCAACTAAATTAGACCAAGCTCAAACCAAACCTACTGTCATTATATTGATTCCAGCTTTTGATGTCCTTCGTCAGGTCTCCACGTCTTTATGGGATAAGACTGTTCTACTCTCACAACACTGGTGAATTTGAACATTGAACCTTTCAGTTTACAGCCCAAGCTGTAATATGCTCCACCACCAGGGCTCGATCTTATTAGATTCCTCGGAAGGGATAAAGAGAATAACATTTACTTTGTTCTGGAAAAAAAAGAAAGATAAGATTGGTTCCTTAAAATATCAGCTGAAATCTTCTGTGTGTAACTAGCCCTCTCCAGTAGAATTCCTGTGGGGCCTAGTGTCAAACCGGAATAGCCATCCTAGCGAGTGCCGAAGGGGTGGTGAAGTATTTTGAGTATCATCCCTGCAAATTTAGATTAAACTCATGTAGACGCAGCTCCTTAGACTAAGTTCTTAATTAAGATGGCAAATGCTTGTTTTTAGAGTTAAAGTGGTAATTGTGACTGTGGTTACGTTACAGAGCTCATTTTCCTGCTCATATTTCAGTGACATATGCCATTAGTCATGATTATTGTGTTCATATTTTTTAATGAGAGAAATCACTAATTACAATTATCATTTACTATGTGCCAGACAGTTTGACATATCAAAGAAGTCTAAGGAAGAAATGGGTTTCATTTATAGTACATTTAGGGAAAGATTGATGTATGTGACATAATTACAGAACAATTAATTATTAACTGTAAGGAATGAGTTCAAGTAGTGGAGAAGCTCTGAGCTATAGCAAGGCTCTAAGCTTCAATCTCTGAACACCATTTAGATGTTGACAAGATTGCATCCTCTTGGGACATTCACGTGGATACATCTTACATACCAATCCCAGGGCAAGCCAATGCCAATTGCGTTTTTACCTTCTCTCTGCATTCCATTTCAAAAGAATACATATATAAATAAAGATGATCTTGAAAACAATTTTAACTTATTTTTTTTTACGATCACACGTAATTATTGTTACATAACAATAACTACAGCCAAAAACACAAGGCTATGAAACAGAACTCTTTTTTAAAAAATTAACTTTAATGAAAGTTTACAGAGACTTTGGATTTCCATTCATTGTTGCACTTTTCTCCCTGCCCAACTTCGACCCCCGCCCCCAGTTCGCTCTTCTCTTTGAAAAGTAAAAGAAAAATTCTTTCATTGTTATACAATCCCTCCCCCCACCCCAAAACAGAACTCTTAAAGAATATTGTTTTTCTTCACCAGATCATGTAGCATTTTGACCTTTTGTTTCATGGGGAAACAAACAAAAATAAATCACTTTTGAACATGTAAATAGCATCCTTTGTTGTTAAGTAGAAAAGCGATTACAGCTGCTGGCTAGTTTAGTGGTTCTCAGACTTGGGTTTGTGTCAGAATCACCGAGCCGCCCTGTTAGATACAGCTCGATGGAGTCCATGCGCAGGTGTCCTGATTCTGTAGGGCTCGTGGAGCCTGAGGCCCGTGGGTCCCGCGAAGGGCCCACACTCCTGGCTGATACTCCTGGCCTGGTGACCACAACTTGAGAACTGTTAAAGGAGCCTAGTGTCCCAGAGTTAAGGGGCCCAGTGCTTTCCAGAAGACTGATGGCAAGAGTTACTTCTCAGAAGAAAAGCGGCAGTTTGCTTCTGCAAAGATGTACTGCCTTGGACACCCCTTGGGGTAGTCGAGCTTTATCCAGTAGTGTTGCTAACAGTCTCCCTTGGTGTCAATGGGTTTGACTCGGTCAAGGTATAAAACAGAAGAGCTGTGGTAGTCTAGGGTTAAGAAGCTACTGCAGTCCCACAGGCACAGGGTCCTTTTCTATCTGCTCCATGGGAGAAGGATGGGCAGTCTCCTCCTCTGAGATTTACCGCCTCTGAAAACCAAGCCGCTGGCTGGTTACGTGGGAGTCCTGTTCCCCTCAAGGGCACACAGCCGGCAATGGCAGACACAGATACACAGATGTACTCGCCCGGGTCCATTGTCAGTGGGTGGGGTCTGTGCATGCTGCTGATTGGCGGCTGACCCTCCAATGAGTTTTCAGCTGCTGGAAGCCAATGCTGGGAGGCTGCCCATCATCCTCTCACAGAGCAGCTGGCTGGTCCAAATCCCTTCCTCCGGTGGGCAGTGCGACTCCTTTCCTGAGAGAATAACTGGGGGTCAGGCATTCTGTTGTGTTGAAGTAGGTGCTTTGTGGATAGCCATTAAAAAGCATTTCTTTTATTTTAGTCACATTTCCCTATTCTGCACGATCCAGTAGTGAATCTGGGCAAGTAATTGAGCATTTTAAAAAGTGCTCTGGAGGACATTATGCTGAGTGAAATATCTCAGTCACAAAAGGACAAATACTGCATAGTGCCACTGTTGTAGAACGGGACTGACATCAGGGTTGGGGTGAGACTGAGAAAGATGGGATAAATTTGTATACTGCATTGAAACAGATGAGGGAGAGAACAGTTTAAAAGCGGCATATGATTGGGTATTATGGTCATGACAAGAGTCCAGAATAAAAGTTGCATAGTGGAGTACTGGGGGGTGGGAAGGATTGTATACCAAGGAAAGAATTTTTCTTTCACTTTTCAAAGAGAAGAGCAAACTGGGGCATGGTGGAGGGTAGGGAGAAAAATGCAACAATGAATAAATGGAAATCCAAAATCTCTGTAAACGTTCATTAAAATTAATATTTTTTTAAAGGGGGGGGGAAGCGCTCTGATTCCATGATTCCCATTCTAGTAGCTTCTGCTGAAGCAATTGCACCCAAAGCCCTGAAATGAGGCTCTCTAGCTGGCTTGGGTCACAGGGCTGTTAGCACGTGTCATCACCTCTGGAGTAAACGCGTTGCCTTTTCTTTTGCAGAAAGAATTCAATAATGACTGCAAGCTGAAGGAGAGGATAGAGGAAAATGGATACAACACCTACGCCTCGTTTAACTGGCAGCACAACGGGCGGCAGATGTACGTGGCCCTAAACGGCAAAGGGGCCCCGAGGAGAGGCCAGAGAACACGCAGGAAAAACACCTCGGCCCACTTCCTCCCCATGGTGGTCCACTCCTAGGGGGGCGGCCCACTCACTCCTGGGGAATGAGGCCCACTCACTCCTGGGGGATGAGGCCCACTCATTCATGGGGGGTGCGGCCCGTGGATGCTGGTCGCCGCAAGGCTCCTTGTTGTGGGATCTGCGCATCTTCAAGAAGACGGTAGTGCCACAGGCCAAGGCACGCTGCAGACTTCTCCTTAGCTGCCCGGCAGGAGGGACCCCTCGGAGGCTTCTTGGGGGCTGTCATGGGCTGTCCTCCTCGTTGGCTTGGTGCCAGGCCCTGAGAAGCGCCACGGAGGCACATGGCATGCGGTGCAAGTGGTTTCCAAGCAAACAGCACTGGGGCTGGATCTGTTGTGTAGTCCATATTTTTCTGTTTTTTAAACTCTGAGATAGAACTTGAAGGACACAGGAAATTGGCTGAGTGATCTTCGGGGGAGTTATTTATGGAATACGAACTCATATCAAAGACGTTGATTGCTCATTGAAGTCTGATGAGCCAGCGAGCCGAGTGAGCCGCAGGCATTTTCTGGAAAGCTCCTGCATTTTCTGGAAAGCTCCTGCGTGGTCATCCACACAGGCAGAGGAGCCTTGGGCGGGGCCTCGTGGAGGAACCGGACGGGGATCAGGACCTCGAGACGTGTCCGTGCAAAACTGTCCTAACAAAACGCGTAGTCTGGTCTGCTTGTGTACCCTGTCTCCATCCATGTCTATTCCTTTCTAAGTTATTTATTTAATAGGATGTTAAATATCTTTTGGGATTTTAAAGAAGAGCCTTCGCAACAGCTGCCCTCTCGTTCCCCTTTTCTCCGGCACACCACTTGCAGGTTTATGGGACAAAAGAAAGAAAAGAATGTTTTTAAACTTGGCAGACACATCCAGCATTCAAGATGAGGGGAGGTCTGGGATGCTGTGTGACTTCCCACCTGCGACCAGGTACCTTCATTTGCACTTTGCAACGGAAATCATCAGTGATAAGCGAGGCGTGCCTGCCATCACTTAAAAACATGACATACCTCTTAGGCTTCCTTTCTAAGAAAAAGACCCAGAAGGCCAAATTCTTCTCTTTGCAATGCATCAATGGCTCTCCGTGAGTGTACTAAACTAAGGGAAATTGATTGTTGTAAGCATTCTAGTAGCCTAATCTTCTTCTTTACTAATGATGTTTTGCCGTACTTCACAGTGATCATTATTATGAGGCTGTCTGCATATATAAAAAGCCTTTGTAAGTCCCACATAACGCATCTTCCCCAAAGGAACTAGTGAGGAATTTGGTATAAAATGCAACCCTCTCACATTTTACACTGAGCTAATATATCTAGGTGTATGTGTAACCCTATACTGAAACCTGTTCAAGCTGTATGATCTAAGTCTTTACGAAACCAAGTGAAACTTATTCTCTGTAAATTTAAGGACCTTTTCCAGGTTCCGTAATGTAGCCGTATCAGGATTCACTTTGTTAGAGCAGGTACATAGAAAGCAGTACATAGAGTGTACCAGTTGACATCACATTTTATTCCACTAAATAAACACGTAAATCTTATTTGCAGTGTCTGTAGTGATTTAAAAAAAACGTAGTAAAACATTATTTGTTCTAAATACTTTAAGTGATAACTCTAAGATTATACTGATGCTGCAGTTTTGCGTTCACATTTCTTATTTTGAAAGTGTTTCTTTGTATTGTGTGGACACAGTATTTTGGTACAAATGGAAGTCTCACTGAATGTGGCTTTTTACTAAAGTTTAATGTTTAGAAAAGCTGGTGTTTTGTGATTCTCTCGTGACTTATTTAAGCTAGTATTTAACCAGCACATCCACTTCATCTTTTAATTAAAAATTTGCTTCATAAATATAGACTCCCATAAAAGAATTTCATGGAAGGGCATATTTTCTCAATCTCTAAAACCATTGACATCTCAAAAGAAATGCATTTAGGGCACAGGGTTTTGGTTTATGGATTAAGTTGCATTTCACAGTCCTGGGCTTTCAACTTGCTTTTTGACAAATGGGATTCTAAGAAGGTTTTATTTTTGTGGTAGGGATCTGTATGTTAAAATTTAATTGGCAACCGAGTCTGAAAGCTATAATGTAATGCACGCCTATCAGAACTAGCTATCTTTGTTCTTTTTTTTTTAAATAATAATTGCACCTAGCACAGGAACAAGACCACCCAGAACCAAAATGAAGTGTTTAGTGAGACAAACAGGGTATTGGATGACCATGGTAACAGCAAATAGGACACAAACTGGATTCTTATTTCACATAGCCACTTTTGCCAAAGAGACTATGTGTAAACAGTCATCATTATCGTACTCAAAACACTAAAATAGCTTCTAGCAAAATGTATCAAAGCTTGCAGACACCAAAAATAGAAAACATTTCCCTCTCTTCCCCCCCCCCCCTTCCCACAAACACTTCAACAGAGATAAAGATGGAAACCGTTTGCTAAGAACTAATGTGGTCACAAAGGGCATGTCTGCTCAATCTTGAGATGGACTTCAGGTCCTCTTTACAGCTGGACCGGGCTACTGAAAGTAAAGGTATTCCAAGGCTGCATAGTTCAGATCCCCAAAATCCGCTGGGGTTTTGGAAGCTCTGCTTCTGTGAGAAGTGTGGGCCATGCAGGTTCATAGAGTGTTGGTTCTCAGACGATGCCTCGAAAAGATACAGACCCCCCTCCCTCCCCCTCCCTCCTCAAAGGCGTAACAATGTATATATGCTATCTTTAACTAAAAACAATAAACATGGCAGGAAAATAAAATAAGAAAACACATTGTCCTTTTTGTTTTATTAGCCTGCAACTATACCTGCTAATAGAGTGTTGTGTGTGAGCAGGATGTGGTTAAATGCCCCACAGCCCCAAACAACAACAACCAAAAGGGGGAAAAAAGAAACAACAACAAACCACTCAAACATTTGTAAGGTTTCTTTAATGTTTTACATGTGTGAGTCAGCTATCCTTACTCTAATAACAACCAAATGCTTTCCATTTTTCTGAGGATTCAGGTCCACCTAGTTTAAACAGTGGATAAAACAGGATGAACAGAAAAACAAGACTGGCTTGTGGAACTATGAAAGACCTTTGGAAATAAGACAGGAGGCTGCAGAATCTGGTTTCATGGGGAAGAGGTGGGCTGATTAGTTTGATTAGGAAAGGGCAGCTAAAAGAAAATGCACGGCATAGAAAGTGGGTCAATACCCCAAGCTAAGTCATAGATGTCTTTGGTGGATCAGCAGTACAACCGTCCAGTTCTAAGAACTTCAGGGTGTTGATGCAGGATGTGAGAACGTAGGCTGTTAACCCCAAGACTGCCTCTCTCATAGTGTGGGGCCTTCGGTGGCTCTACAGGAGAAAGACGGACAGTCTCCTCCAGTGGGATTTACAGCTTTGGAAACTCAGTGGGTGGTCAGCCCCAAGTTTCAACATGATGGCAATGCATTTCGAGTTTCATTCGGGACTGACAGAGACCTGTAGAGGCAATGGTAAATATGGTGGCATAGAACCAGCAAGCATCTGGACCTTCTCCATCTGCACAAAGGCAAAGATAACCCATTGAGAACAGTATCAACAGAACAGACCTGAAAGCTGTGAGGTCAGGCATTACCCCACCACCAATACACGTAACTACTGCAAACCCATCTACAACCACTCCAACCATCAACCATGCTTCTCATGACATCACTTGTCCGCAGGCTTTAACAACTTGTTTCAAGTTGTTTCAGATGGTACTCACAGATAACCCTTGCTACACAGGTTTACTAGGAAAGTAACAAGTTACAGTCTAAGAGCTAGAACTCTGAGGCTGCTCCAGTCAAGTCATCCTCTTTTCAGCCTAGTGAAACAGAGACATCCCCTCTGGCCCCAGCCTCCCGCTCCTTTGGGCAAATGGTACAACAGTCTTTTCACCCTGTGAATTATGTGCTATGATTATCTCGCCTTTCATGCTAAGGCTCCTGCCTAAAGGCACTGTAAGTAGGTCGTCAAAGGTACTCCCTTCAAACGCCTGAGGGCATTACCTCTCCAGCTGGCGCTCAGCCTTCTGGCTCTGTGGCCCTGGAGTCCACGACTCTTTCTCACACCATCCTGCTTTCTTCTGTCTTGGCTGCTACACTATCATCCTGTGTCAAAATCAGACAGTTGGAAGTTGTTAACAATGAAGAGAACATAACAGGGTTGACATCCTCGGCATTCGTGAGCCAAGATGCACTGGAATTAGTCTCTGTGCTTTGGCCAGGCACTCCTTAGTCTTTACATTGACTTCTCAGCTCTTTAGCATTTTTTTTTAATTTAGGTTGTTTATTTTTCATTTCAATGAACATCTACAGAGATTTTGGGATTCCATTCATTCATTGTTGCACCCTTCTCCCCGCACAAACCCCCCCGCCCCCCCTCCCCCGTTTGCTCCTCTCCTTGAAAAGCAAAAGAAAAACTCCCTCATTGGTACACAATCCCCCCCCCACACCTCCCCAAACCCCACCTCGTATCCCCAAATATAATCCACTCTGCAACCCTCATTGCATTTTAAAGAAGCCCTTAACAGTAGTCTACCCAGAGCATTATGTTTGCGTTCCTTGACTGCTGATTCCATGGGTGCTGACTGAGGAGCTAAGTAAGATGAAATCGTGGACAACTGCAGTCTTTATCATGTTGTTGCTTATTGATTCAGTCACAAGGAATGATGGTTTCCTCTCTACTGATTATGTCGTGTAGATAGCGCAGATTGCCAATGAGATGACTGCAAGCCTAATTAATGCCAAGGTCAACTTTGTATAATCCTGTTTCTTGGATTATTTGTTCAACATATCATTTACATACCATACCTCCTCACTACAGAATGAATGAGGGGGGTGACAGGATAGAACCCTGGCACACAGCTTTCTTGGCTTTAAGCCATGGATCTCCTTGCTCTGTTTGAGTGGCCGTGTCTTGGTTCATGTCCTACACATGCCAGCGTGTCTCAGTTGTATCAGGGATGCTGAGGATAGCACAGGATAGGACAGGGTTCAGATCTCTTGTTCAC